GCGCTATCTACTATGCAAGCATGAAAATTATGTGGCTAATGTGATGCGTAGTATTTAAGTATAAATATGTTATCGATCTCTCGCGTTATTGTACCACTCAGCTTTTATGCTGAGCGTGTAGTCTTTTTGTCTACACGTAGGTTGAACCACAGATTATGTGAACCACCCGGAGGACGAAGAGACGATAGGATGGCAGGTTGACATGCATGATTTTCACAAGTTTTGCATTTGAAGTTTTGGGTTTGACCCACATCATTGTATTTGTATTATTTTTAGTCTTCCGCTATCTCCGACATTTTGTAACATGATCAATCCGAATTTAATATGTTATATTTTGAATTTTTGTCTTATGAATTTTATTTAATGATTTGGAAAAGTTTTAACATATTTCTCCCGTTTCACCTTAATTCCTATAATTCCGGGTTATACGAATTGGGGTGTTACATCAGAAGCGGCTTCTCGAATTGTGTATGCCACATCTTCCAACATCACGTCACTTTCTAGTTTCTCCTTCAACTTTCTTTATCCATCTCTAACCATTCATTTAATTTTTTTATATGGCATATTTTCATTTGTACAAAAAAAATAAGAAAACCTAATAAAAACAATTGACCAATCACTTTTTTTCCCTTTCTAGAGGAATATATTATTCTCCCTGCCCATCTTTCTCCTCTATTCCTCTCTCCCCTCTCATCATTTTTCTCTTCTTTTTCCTCCAGATCATCTTATTCCCCTTTTCACTCCATCTCATTAATGAGGTTCTAAAAGCATCCCCATTACTTTAAGACTTTGAGTTCATAGTCTTTGAGTTCTCAGACTCGCCTTTAAGACTTCCAACCTAATAAACAATCCTTTCCAATTGAAAAAACCAATGGTCAATTACGTCTACTTAATATAATTTTATTTTGTTATTCTTTTATTTTAAGGTGTGTAATTTTATATATAAAAATGTTTCACGTTCTCCTAAGGATCAACCAAAATGGAGCGACTATACATTTTACCTATGTCTTGTTATGTTAATTTAATTTGTTGTGCTTCTAGTTTCATTATATGTAATTTTTATTTTGTGTGTTTACTTAAGTGACTTTAATAAACGCACTCACTTCATTTTATGTATGTTATGCATAATAATTTAATATAATTTTCTCCAATTTTACGTTACTAATTTTTTAAGGTTAATTATATTAATAATCAAAATTGCTAGAAAAATTAACGTATAGTACAATTATATACGGAGTATTAGATAAGTGATTAAAAAATAAAAGTTAATAGAATAACATATTGTGGAATTCTGATATGGCAGTATTTCAATATAATAACAAAAGTTACTCCCTCCGTCCCAATTTAAATCGCCTTTTTTGACTTTTGAACATATTTAAGGAAAATAAAAAATAAAATTGATTTTTCAAAAGTGACATTACTTTTTAAGAGGGGTAATGATGAAAGAGAAGATAAGGTGAAAAAAATGACTTATTTTAAGGGTAGTTTAGGTATTTTATTTTTAATATTTTACAAAAACAACTAACAGGCAATTTATTTTGGGACGGAGAAAAAAAGCAAACAGATAATTTAAAATGGGACGGAGGGAGTAATAGAATAAAAATATTTATGATGCATTGATACCGTAACACCTCTCTCCATTAAGAACAACAGCTACGAACTCCAAATCATGAGTTGGATAATTACATTCATGAGGTTTCAATTGTCGTGATGCATAAGTTATGACCTTGCCTTCCTACATTAGTACACACCCAAGTCCTTGG